TCCTTTCATTGTTTACTTCTATTTTCACTGCAGTGTTCAAATTGCTCCCCATGTTTCCATATGTCAAATTACTGTGGGTGCTGCAAAGACCTGATTTCATCATCGCTGTCAGAGTCAGATATTCATTTCATCTCATCCACTTACATAGAAATCCACTTTGCAGGAGCCTGGTGCATCTTTGGGTCCAGGGGCGAACCTCCATATCGTTTCAAGATGGCTTAAGAGGGATCCTTCAGTACACACGGCCTGTTTCAAAAGAAATTACCCTTTAGTTATCACTGATTGGCAAAGGCAAAGAGCATAGTACCCTGGATCAAAGTATAGTTTGAGAATTTGTGATGGTTGTTTTCTGGAGCTACCACAACACAAACTTACCCTGACTTGGTGGTTTGGGATGACAGTGACCTCGGAGGTGTAGCGCTCTACGATGGGGGGGAAACCTATTTCCAGGTCCGCCCAGATGTCGCCATTTCGTCCCTTTTTGACCTGAGACTTCTTGCACCATGGAACAAAGTGATGGTACTGGTCTACATTGGCAACTAAACTGTACATCTGCTCTGGAGTAAACCTGAGCACACAGACAAATGGAGACAGAGGCACATCAGATGAGATGATATTGCAATTTCTATGTAAATTTGTGAATTTAATTCTTGGATTCTTGGATTCTTTTGTTGATTAATTATCATAAAATAGTGAAATATGCTGGTAATAATTTCTCAGAGCTTGAAGTTTCATCTTCATATTGCTTGGTTTGTCCAACTAACAATCCAAAACCCAAATAAATTAAGTCAATTATTACACAAGACAAATAAATTTCATTTTTCCAAGTAGCCAAAGTTTCAAACTTTCTTTAATTTACTTATAGATTAGAGATAGTTGTCAGATAGTTATTGTCTTCTTAGTTCTTTGGTTTTCAACATGTCGGATATCATATAAGGACACTCACTCTAATGTCCGGCTTTCAGTGTACTCCATTCTGCGTGCGCTGATGGGGATGGCCAGGTTGATGAAGTTGCGGCTGGGTGTGCTGACGGGGACCGCAGGACAGAGAGGCAGGCTGGTCCTTCTCACTGCCAGAGCCCCACAGGAGGCCCACAAGTGTCTGAAGAAAGGGAATCAAATATAAATGGGAAGACAGTAATGAGTTTGTGGAAATGTGCAAAGCCCCGTGGCAAATGATTCCTCAAATGTCATTTTCTGTGCACTTAATTATGTTGTAAATTCACACTGTTTGAATATGCATCAAATCACATCTTTTTGAGGACAGACTACCTTGATTAATACTTCCCTGCTGCTGCTAATGATGAAAAGCTGACATTCACGTCATATTTCATTTATTGCCCGCACAGTTTATTGAATGCAGGTGCCAAATGCACCACAAGAGGGAGAAAAGACAGACTCAGTCCCATGACTGACAGTAACTCTGCCAAGTTACTCGAACACTTCCTACACTAGAAATACAGTCTACTGTCCATTGATGTTAACAATATTAAGCCAAACATCTAAATTACACCAACAGCCACATTTCAATAACCGTGTGACTATGAAAATTCAATCTAAACGAATACAATCACGCGTTCATCAGTATGTCGCCTACCTGTACGCATCTCTGTGGGTAACGTTTCATTTTCACTCACCTGATATTCGGTCTTTTATTGTTTCCTCGCACAACCTTTGAGGAGTGGGCTTCAGACATCTCCAGCAGCGCCTTGAAGAGAAGAGGAGTCGCTTTGTTGGTCATGGTGAAGGTAAAGTTTAGAGACTACCGTAGCTTCTCAGGTGAGATGTCAGTGCTGTATCCCCGACGGCAGCAGCGGCGACCCGGCTTTGTTCTGGCTGACGAGTCGCTCCGCTTGCCCAATAAGGGCAGCAGTGACGTCACGGGAAACACGAGCCAATCAGAGAGAGCTTGATCAAGTTTAAAAGCCAACTTTATCCAGTGCCAAGGGCCCTGACTTTATCTCTTATTCGAGGTAACCTTTGAATGACACTCAGAAGACAAATGAGGACAGTCAGAGGACGTATATGTTTAACTGAGTGACGACATTATAAAATTAGAAATTGTTTTAATTAATTGTTTTAATTGAAAATTTATTGGACATTGTTTTTATTAGTGGAAGTGCTGGTGGAGTGCATTTTTTGAGTCTTAAAACAGTGGCAGCGTTTGTAAAGCACTCCTGCATTTGAATTTGTAGATTTTATGTCCATTTGTAAAACATTTTGTAACCTGTTTCCTTTCAAATAAATGTATTAATATAAATTGTATTGTTAATATGGATTGCAGAGTTAATTTCCTTGCTCAGAGACAGACACATGGAGTTCAGAATTAAGACTGACCTTTCAACTCTTGTCATCCAAAGTAGATGACATTATATAACAGATGACAAGGTTATCCAGATTTGTTGTCTTATTGTAAAAAACAAAACAAAAAAAGCACTATATGAATCAATTTTGTGATTGACTGCCTGGAAATATTCCACAGCTGAGTTCACAGTATTTTGTGAGGTTTCTATGAGCAAGCCAAAGTCTAAATTATAGTGTTGTTGGGTTGAGCCAGTGAACAAGCGAGCACATACTGTGCACATGATTCACCTGGACTTTGGTGCTTCAGAGGAATTAAAGTTATGAGGTGTAGTAACGTTTAAAGTGCAGCAAAGTATGAGATAACAGCAACCAGAGCTAACAAACAGACTAAATTAAAATGTTTGATTTGTGATAGTGGGAAATCTAAATTTACCTTGCTCCCATTATACTCTGCGTAATACTACAGGCTCTAAGAGGCTGACACCACTGAGTGCTGCATTAAGTGTTACCGCACAGTCAGAGCTGGTAGTGCCAGATCCATTTCAGGATGCCAGAATTAGGGCACCTGACCAGGGAGGGTTTTAAGAACCTCAGTCAATCCTATCAAAGAAAGGCTGAAAACGTAACCTGTAGACGTACAGACAAGGTAACCTGTCTCAGGTTATAAGCGAACATACTCATAGGCTTAACAGCACCAGGCTGATCCAAAAATGACACAGGAGATGGATGCTGCTCCAGCTGGCCCTCATTCAGTCTTTATACAGTTCAGGGATTCAAAAGCCCAACTGAGGCACTTCCTCCTTACAATTTACTCACAACCATTTAGAAAGACATTTCTCTAACTTTTTATAATTTTTAAATGGCATTTTCTAGATTTATCTTGAAATAGAAAAGTACTTGAGGTATTACGGTAATAACAATTAGATTTTTATTTGGTCTGTTAATGCACTTTGTTGTTTCAGGACCACTCTGGACGTCAGTGCATTGATGTCACTGGCTTGCAAAGTCGTCATCTAACATACGTATTCAGTTCACCTGCTTTTGAACAGATGTATTAATCATTGACAGACCTTCATTCAACCAGTTAAAGAAAAACTACACCAGTTTTCAAAATTCATACATGTCATTCCGATAGTCTAAGACAGTCCAAAGATATTGGTAAACATGGACATTTCTCTCAAAGTCAAAAATTAAAGTGCTTAAACTCTAATTTATGATTTCATCTCATATAAAATCAGGAGCTGCTCCACTGATAATGAATTTAGAAAGGTGTTATGGATGGCACTGCAACACATTGTTACCCCGACCTTGTCACATATTGACATTTGGTCATGGACTTTCCACTTTGACATATGACATGCAAGGTACCTTGAGTGCTTTGGTTGTTGACATTCTGGGACACTGTGTCAACCTCTGTCTGTTACACTTCTGTCTGTTTTAAAAATACATTTCTGTTTTCACAGAAAATTAACAGTTTGTATACAGTCTCCTTCAAAATAAACACACTGTGTTGGTACAACATTGCAAATTGACGTCTTCTTTCTTCAACATTAAACACAAGTGGTTGCATTTTGCCAACACTCACACGTGGTTAGATTTAGAAAAAAAAGGCAAGGTTTGTATTTTCAGTCTTACTGGAAGCAAACACCAGCTTCCCAGGTGAAAGTCGCCGATTGCTGGACCCATTCAACACCTCTCCCGCCCACCCTACTTGGACTTCCACTGCCTTAACTTTCATTGTTGTCCCACCGTGTTTCTTCCTGATGCTGCCAGGCGTCGTTAAACAATAATGGCAACTGGCCATATATCATGCCAATACGAAAGGACGGCTGTTTTGGTTGTTGAAAGATGCCAGAAGTCACTGACCAAGCGGCGGTTTTCGACAACTTCGCAGTGACACCGGGTGGGACACTGAGAGCAGCCAGGGGAATATTTGAGTACATGGGTACATTTTCTGCATCAGAACCAAGAACACTAAAGTTGAATAAAGTTCATTTGGGTATAAAAAAGAAACAAACATCCTGTGGGTCGACAAAATCAGGCTCCCATTCATTGTCTACGGAGCAGCTCCAGACTGAAGATTGAGACTTAATTCTCTGGTTTGTGACTTTCACAGATAGAAGCTCATGTTCACAAATATTCATTTAACTTTAATAGGCCATGAAAAAAACATATTGGATTTCTTAACTTAAATGGTGCACCCCTTTAACTTTAACCACTTGTCTAAACGTGCAAACTTCTCTGATGAAGAGCCATATGCATTCCTGTTAGATTTCAGCGATTAAAAAGCCACAACATAAGTGAACCACCACAGAGTGTATGACATCTCTTTGTTTGTTGCTTGTGACAATATTTACAGGACCAGAGGACAGAGAGAGAATCCACTTCTAGGTCAAAGGATATTTTTAGTCTTAACTAGCAGTTGCAAACAGCATTTGTTTTGCTCTCTTCTTCTTTTTTTAAAATAAAGGTGCTTGATCCACTTCAACAAAATAGCGCATCTCTTGATTACTAATCTGATATAGCAATAAATCCTTATTTATATAAAAATATGCTGAATTTGAGTAGTATTTCTTGTGACAGTATTTCTTTTATTGTGACATCTAACCACTATTTTGAATAGAGTAAGGTGAGGTGCACCTGCACAGTACAATCTGCAGTGAGCGTATGACAGATATCATCCAAATTCTTTTTAGGTCAGCTCAAATACTTTATTCATTCATCCCTCAGGGGACATTTAAACACAAGCACTTCAGCAAACACTACAAAAGAAATACAGCATACCATATCATTAAGCCATGTAAAAAATCTTGCATGATTTCCTTCAGTGAAAGTACTTATTTTAGTTATTTATTTTTCATTTCATGTTTTGAAGCGGTAAGTTTGTTCCCACTTGCATGAAGCAGCCAATCAAGATTACACAACAACATTCTTGGAGTGTTTTACATTTAACACAGTGGTAAGAACCTGTCCAGAAGCATGCCAGTCCCTTGAAAATATGTCAACAAGTGTGGTAAGAACACTGTCACGCAACCCATATAGCTCACTAAAACCATTTTCCTTGTGAAGTATTTTGCCACTAACCAGGAAATGGTTTAACTTTTATTCTTATATCTTTATATTGTTATAAGTAGTAATATAACTTTTGATAACACACAAAAATAGAAGCATGGAGTCACTCCCTCCTTTGAACTCCCAAAACTCTGAACTTACTGCCCTTTCCAGTTGAGTAACACCGCTGAGTCACAGTGAGTCAACTTTATTCCCGAAATCACCACTGAGAGAGCCAAAATATTACCTCTGCATTAAAACACAAACAAGAGCAAGTTGTGGCTTAGATAAAAAGGCAAAATTATTGTTCCTCAGCTGAGAACATGATTTTGCCCAAAGCACTGATGTACCGCGAGCCATCTGGCTCTGTCATCTTCAGTTTGGTGAGAGGTGGCACGACACCGCTGGTGAAGTACCTAAATGCAGGGCTGGGTGACTGGATGGCATCAAGGAAAACCTTGAAGACATAAGCAAACACACCACAGTGGTTAGATGTAGAGGTAATCTTATATTGACACACTTATGTCAATTTGTTGTGATAAACTCAACCTCAAACCTCATCAGTATTCTGAGCACTAAATCAAGTGAAAATAAAACTACAGTAGAATTAAACATATGTATCAAAAGTAAAAGTACTCAATATGCAGAGTGGTTCCTGTCTGAGTTATTATTATATTATTGCATCATTATTATTGTCACATATTATATGTGTATGTAGTTTTTAATGTTGTAGTTGGATGGGGTTGTGCTGATTCTATAACTTAATAAAATCTGTGTATCATATTTAATAAGCTCATCATAGATTTTGTGTGTAAACTCTTAGTTTGCAAAATAACTATTAACTGTAGTTGTTAAACTAATGTAAGCATTGGACTTCAAAGTCATGCACAAAATGTTGCATGAAGGCTCCTCCCTATCCACAGCTAGTGAAAATCAATTCTATTTATTTCATTTTTAGATAAAAGATTAGAGTAAATGTTTCCGGTTGATGTGAAGGGTGCAACGGGGATTAACAGTGTGAATTGTTTCATGTGTCCAGGGTCTTACGGGAAAATTTTATAGTGTTGTCAAGATCCTCCCTTTTCTTTTCCATGCTGACAACAGTCACATTTAGCGAAAAGACTAGAATCTTATCATTTATAATGCTGTATTTAAAGGTTCTCTATGTACCTTTTAGAAAATGCTTGTTATAGTGACACCTCTTTCTGAGGCTGTTAAATGAACTGCACTCAGCATTGACTAACGAGACTGACCATGAGTCAGTCTCGTTAGTCAATGCTGAGTGCAGTGACTAACGAGACTGACCATGAGTTCTTCGTTAAAGCATTAGTGTGTAGGATTTTGGGAGATTTAGTGGCATATAGCAGTGAGGATAGCAGATTACAACCAGCTAAAACTTGTCCTGGTGTGCCATGTGTTCAGCAGGTTTTTACTGGGAGCCAAATTATCCACAGGGGTCTCCTCCTCTCCAAAACAAATGGACCAGGTGATTTGAACAAAACTTGCAAAAAATGAATACGGATTGCAGTGAATACGGCCCGGACTAGCTCCCTATGTAGATATAAACGGCTCATTCTGAGGCAAGGAAAACACAGTGAATCTTATTTTCAGGTGATTAGATACTTAAGAAAACATACTTATCTTCAATTCCATTTCTGCCAATATATCCTCCTAAATCCTACACACTGGACCTTTAAAGTTTATCACATCCTTTGGATTTTCCCTGAAAATTCCTTTACATAGTCCTTTACATGGATGCCAGTCCATAGGTATCAAAGAAAGTCGGGGAAGGTCTCAGTTTTTATGATATGTTACAAACTGTTCATTGGTGATTACATGTAAAAAGTTACATACAGTGCCTTTAACACACACATAAAAAAAAAAATTTCCACCAGCATCATTTAAACCTATTGATGCACTTATGACACTGTAAACATACAACATACCTTTACAATATCCTCAGTGTCCTGTGCTGCATTTTGGAAAACGGAGCCACAGTGCTTCAGGTATTTTTCATAGAGGCTGAGCGTTAGGGCCTCGACCTGTTGGAGAGAGGTATCCCCTAGCTCTACCTTCTGCAGGTTGACCAGGAAATCGGTGTTGACTGGACCACACTCAATGAGACTCACGCTGCAGGATGTAGCATCATCAACATTTAGAGTTAACAGCCTCTAAGCTAAGGAAACAATTTGCAGCAAACATGAAAACTCACTGGATATTGAAGTGTTGCAGGAGGATAGCTAAACTCTCACATGCTCCTTCTATGGCAAATTTACTGGCACAATACACCTCATTAAAGGGGAGACCTGCAAGAGAGCATGAAAAGGGGTTATTTTGGCAATTTTATGCACAGCAGCAAGTATCAACACGATCTGTCGCTGCAATCTCCATCGAATCATTACAAAAACTGCACATGTGGAACACTGTTGACATTCAGTGATTCCTCATCCACGTGCTTGTCTCACCATGAAGTCCTCCAGTGCTCCCAGTTACCAGAATGTGGCCCTGGCCCTGAGCCTTCATCTCCGGCAGGAAAGCCTGGATGGTCTGGATGGTACCCAAAAGGTTGACCTCCAGAATTTGCCTCATCGAGTCCAAGGACTGCACCTCCAGCGGCCCCATCAAACCCACACCAGCATTACAAACTGTGAGTAGGATAAGCCCATTAATACACACGATCACAGTCCTAATGAGAACACACTGACACAAGAGCATACCTAGAATGTCCACTCGTTTCTCAGCAACCCTGTCTCTCGCATCCAGGATGGACTGCCAGCTGGTTACGTCCAACTGGAGTATGTCCAAGGTGTCCTTGTGCAGGCTTTTCACACATTCCAAAAGACGCTCTTTCTTGGCTAGGTTTCTCATTGTGGCATACACTAAACAGAAAGCAGCTCTTAATGGCATGTCTTGACACATTTTTCACTATGCTTTTAAATGTTTTGCTATTTACACAAGTCTTATGTATATTGCAAAATAACTCAAGTCATAAAGCACATTACAAACTCTGAAGTGTCTCTGTAGAAGATCCATAACATCAACACTTCCCAACCCAGTGAAAGCTTAGACACTTTAGCATATAAAAGGGCTATAATAAAAGTCTATGCCAGCTGTCGTTACCTTTGAATTTTTTGTCGGGGTCAGAGGCCAGCCGGACAGCCAGGCTGAGACCGATTCCCGAGGAACAGCCTGTGATCAGCACCACCTTCTTGTCCATGGAGCCTGGCTCATCAACTGTCTGCTTCAACAGAGTGCAGCCAGCATAGAGGATGAGATGGAGACATGTGAGAACTCTTTTTCTCAGTGTTGTTACATATTTCGCCAACACAAGGCCAGTTAATCCTAAACATCTTCCTGTTATCAGCCACCTGGAGTCCCTACATTTTTTCACACGTCCATGTTGCCCTTGTTTTCTTTTCTCCTTTAAGACGTGAGAAACATTGCTGCCTTTCTTTGACTTTTTGTAACTGCTGTGAGTTGGGATGCCCTTATTTATTTTCATTAAATTTAGCTTTTGACTTGATAACAATGCTCAGAAACATCTATCTGTTTATCTTTTAAATTGCAGCACTAATAGGAGCACAAGGTGGCAGCAAAACATTATATCATCAGTCCCACTGACCTCTGCCTGCTCCATTGACTACATTAAGACAATGAGGCTGGGAAGAGCCAGAAATGAGCACAATGGGTTTGAGTTCAAGGGACCGAGGAGGGAAATTGCTTGGTGTTTATTCTCATGAGGTTTCTGATATGAACACCCTGCATCCTTTTCCCAAGCTTATGTAAAGGGAAAGCAATTTCAGGCATGTCTAACAGAAAGTTGTCATTTGCAGGTGCCGTGTAGTCTTTAAATGTGTGACAAAGTAATCCCAATTCATAGATCACATATTTTGAGCTTTCTGAGCTGTGTTCATCATCTGATAACAGCTTTGAAAAACCTGGGAAGTGGACATCTTCCTCACACATACTGTTCAGAACTAACTAAAGAAAAATTATGCCAAGCAATTGTTTCAGGAGACTCGCATTCTTTATTAAAATACCTCTCAATGTCTTAATTAATCCTGATAAGGCTTGTCATCTGTGGTCACAAGGTCTTGCAAATCTGCAAATCTGCAAATAACATGTGGTCACACAGAGAGGAAACTAAGGGGAAACTTGGCCCATTTCAAAGCAAAGAAATTCCAACCAAAGCCCAGCCCCAGAGATGTCTATTATTAAGTAATAAGCAATCCATCATGCAAGCTCTGAGCAGTGACTGGAAAATAGGTTTTGAGATTACGAGACGTCATCATGTGCATGTGAGTGAGTTTTCACTAGGTGGCGTCAAATCCTCAGGTACAAACCATTCATCAATCAGAGCTTGTGTCAAGCAATTATTAACACGGCATCCACTTATTATAAACTGTCACGAAAACCTCGACACAATGATGAATAATTCTTAGAGAAAAGAAGTGCCATTCATTCTCAGTAAATGTAACATAGAGTGTAGAATATGCAATATGAAATTTGACTTTATTCAGTGTCGTGGTCTTCTATCTGCTCTTGTTGCCATCTTTCTGCATTTTAACGGGTCACCATCCCATGTGCATTCTCCTATACTCTGACCAGTGAAATGGGCTGGCATCTCTGTGCAACATTTCAGCAGCCTCATTTGAAAGAATTTCTTCTGCTGGTGGGAGCAAACCAAGTAGGAATTTCCTGCCATTTTGTTGCGTTCCTCCCCTAGAGATGGCATCAGCCTGGCTGCTGTCCCAGAGTCTGTGGGACAGATAACAGCAGGCCTTGAACCTCTTTCAAATATCTACGACTCCCAAGCATTGTTAAAAACTTTGAACTGGTTGACCTCATTTGTAAGTGAGTTTTAGCTGTTTTATTGCATCCTGTGTGCATCTAGTTTTTATTTTTGTTAAATGCTTATCTTGCTCAGGGTCAAGAAACTTTAGTACACATATAGTGCTTTGCCATATGCATGTATGCATTTTATATTGTTACTGCAAATATATAAATAAAATGCATTTTCTGTCCTCTCTTTTAACTGTATACAGTCAAGCAACACTCAGAGGCATGGGCTGCCCTTCATCCATTAGTTGTGTCTGAATCCATCCTGGCAGCATAGTACAGTCTATGGTCCATGGTCAAGTACAGTTGCCCAGATTCCTGCTAAACATGGCGCACAGTCTCCCTGTGGACCAGTAATTACCAAGAGAAGGTCGAGTGGAGGTGCACAGTGGTCTGGAAAAGCCTTTAAAACACCTCCTGGACAAGACTGGCCCACAGCACCAGAGTAAATAGACTTCTGAAGACCTTACAGTTGCTCAGGGAAAGAGCAACGACATCCCACGTGCACAACTGTGTGTCTTTGGGTCATTTTTGGAAGAAAAGTGTTTGTTGGATGTGGTGGAGGCAGCACGCCGGCCTCGTGCTCAAGGAGGAGATGCATGAGAAGAAGCAGACATGGATACTGAGGTATCTGGTGCTGCTTCAGGACGAAAAGCATAACAGCTCCCAGGTGTCAGTTCATTCATGTGCTCTCTCAGTGGACGACCAGGCCACAAATGAGTCACACTGGGCTGTGTGTGTTCCCGGGATAGAGGCATGTAATAAGTGCATGGTGCAAACACAATACAGGGTTTTTAATAAGACAGAGTGGCTACAGAAGCAGATGTACTTGACAGGATGTCCCATCTGAGAGTGATGAGCAGAAGTGAAACAGCTGAAGACGTGCTGCGGTGGATGTGGTGAAGCTTAAATGTCACGCTATACCTGGTATCAAAGTTAAATGAGGCAACTGGGGGCGTTTCAGCTGAAATAAAAATGCAGATCTTACATTTCTCAGAGATGTTCCCTCACTTTTCAGGTATGAGATAAAACATGAGTTTAAACTTCTTCTTAATCAGGGTCTCCATCAGCCCAGTAAGAGAAAGCAGAAAGAGCTCCCTGTTAAGGTTTGCAGTAATATGTGGAACCCAAAAGACTGAAAATGCAGAATAAGAGTTTACTGAGTTTATTAGAAGGGCTAGGTGCTGGCAGAAGGCTGAACAATCAAGGCTGGGTAGATGGAGACTGTTGACAGGGAGGTTGAAGCAGAATGGCAGAGGGTAGGAAGACTGAGCAGGCAGAGTGGTTTCTTCTTCCACAGTCCTCCCTGAGTGTGCTGACATGAGGAGTGGACACTGGTGAAACCTTAGCACAGGGAAGAATCACATCAGAAAAATCTAACTGACAACACTTGGGGAAAATTAAACTATCAGTAGTTTAGTGGCTGACAATAACTGCCATTGGAGTAGACAGAATAATCTGGCAAAGGGTGGAGGTGAGGCTTTGGTTCTTGTACTGAGGCTGATAAGGAGGAGATTAGTTGCAGGTTTAAAGTTCAGCCAGGTGCTTGATTGCAGCAGCCATGCCCTCCGGAGATAGACACGCATACACAGAGAGGCAAAAAGTGGAGGGGGAGCAGGGCAACACAAGGAAAAGGGGAAAATACTATGTTCACAGCTAGAGCTGTGACACTCTCTTTGTTGGGTATGTCACCTTTCTGCTTTTATTTTTTTAAAAGCCTCCTTTTGATTTCAAAATAAGATGACTGGGTGATCATATCTGCACCAAAACCTTTCCTTGAGCAGCACGGATGCTGGCACAGCAATGCTGAACACAACCTTTAGAGTAATAAAAAGGATTTACTGTGTGGTGATATGACCTCCTGCATCGTATAATGTCTTTCAAATGTGTTGTTGAAGATATGCAACTGTGAGACACAATTTCCAAGATACTTCTGTAGTTGCCAGGGAGTACATGTGATTAAACAGAAACTTTGTTTTATTAAAAAAATATGTCCACATATTGAGTTAGAAATAACACCTGGACTTGTGACTAAATGCTGGTTTATACATCTGCCTTGAATTAGATCTGTTCTCTACACTGTTGGCTGATATGCAGAAATGCATGGATTACTGAACAAGCATACTGGGCACATGCTTAGGGGTTCAAAGTGTTAGGGGGCCCCCTGGCCATCACTTTAAAAATGTTACTCAAATGAACCAGGAAAAGACTCAAAATGACCTCAAAGAGCTACAAAGGAACTGCAAAAAGATACACAACTACAAAATGAATGGAACAACCACAAATAGATATAAAATGACCACAAAGAGACACAAAACCACAAAAAGATGCATAATGACTACAAAGAGATGCAAAGTCACAGCAATGCAGACCGCAAAAACTGTCATTGGTCTGCTTGGTAGCATCACATTTCCTCCTTCATATTTTGCCTCGAGGTGGGAAAAAGGGGCTTGCATAAGTTGTTCAGTAAAAGTGAATAACATTTCCAGTAGAAGTAACTCTTGTTCAACATTTACTGGCTCCAACTCCTTCATGATCCAAACAGTTTGATGTACTACCGTTTGAAGTATACATAGAGAAACTCAACGCAGTGGCAAACCCCGCCACCAACTAGCGTTTTGGCGCTTATCTTAATAGATAGAAATGTGACAGAAATGTTATATTGTGTTTGGGTTTTTTGACTGGTGTTGTCTCCATGCCACTGAGCGCATACATCTGATATCAAATTTACTCCTTCCTATCTGCTTGAGAGGTTTTGTTTCACTTTGTAAAACCACAGTTTGACTGCTTTGGTCTAGACTTGATGGATTTTATGATTATAACAATGCGTCTGCATCTGATGAGGTAGCGTTACAGTGTCTGTGACCTCTTCTTGCCCTTCTTCTCGACACACTGTAGATACATTTAATCCATATCCTTTTCTTTAACTATAATAATTAATCAAATTCTGCCAGCTCTCAACTCTTTCACTTACAAAATGCCTTGCCAGGAGACATGTTATTTATGGTGTCTCTCCAGAGTTTCTTCTATTTCACTACTGTATGTGCACATATGTAGCTCTTTGCTCACTGGCAAATTCAATTTCCAAGTAACCTGTAAATGCTTGAGAGGGGTTTTGTGTTTGTGTGAGTTGCAGTTGTATTCAGCCCTCTTATATAAGATGTTACAAGGATATATATGGTATTAATAGAAAGTATCCCCCCCAGCCTACAGCACAACTGGGACTGGATTGAGAGATCGGAAGAATTCCCTCTCCCGAGAATTTAATCCAGCATGATAAAAACCCAAACCAAAGGGCCATAACTTTATATGCCTACTTATAAACCACTGACTGATGAGACATGAGGCTCCGACCACTCGCTCTGTCTACTCTGACGACAGATGGCAGCTTTACTTCAA